ACTTGACATTAAATCTGATACTAAAAGCGTGAATGCGAGAGAGGCAGTGGATAGAGTATGAACATGGTAAAACAGAACGAACTACAGAGTCATAGATATATGGCATCTAATAAGTGGCTTCATTCAACTGTGAGATAAGTGGCGAGGGAAGCATGCTAATAAGTGGCTTCATTCAACTGCCTTGTCGATGAGCTTCATAGGCAACCCGATGCAAACAATCTGTGAGATATACGGCATATAATGATTTTTCTATAGACAATGCACTTGAAATTTTGAAGGCAAAGGAACATATCTGATACTCGCTGAATCCCTGCCGCCTTGACAAAGCTTGATCAATTGTTGTTATTGTGGCCCTAGATCGGAAGCGCGCCTTGGCGCACATTGCCCGTCCAAGTGCCATGACCCAACATGTATAAATCTTGTACATTCAAAGGAAATTATGGCACTCTTTCAAGACTAATGAGTTTAGTGCTGATTACAAACAGTAGAGATATATCAAAAACATGGTATACTGAGTATACTAAGTCAACAGGATAATTAATTTGCAAGCACATGACAAAATTTGTTTCAAAAAGCCAGAGCTACTGCCAGATAGGGCAAACTATTTGCATCAAGTTGAGAGAAAGCAAAAAAGATTCAAGATACCAACAGCCTGAATGTTAACCTTCAAATTCCAGAACCATACATCATCAACAACATAATATAATTAAAGGATAACTTAACATATAGGCCATTTCATTATTTACAAGACATAAACAGAACAAATAGTCCCATATCAGAATTATCAGCAGCATGAAAAAATAAAAGGAGGTTCGTACATATCAGAACTGAGACTCCAAATCTCATGTCTCAGTCGTGAAATATATTCTTTATCAGATTTGAAGTACCACAATGGGCTAATAATCACTGTCAATGTAGGGTAGGTACACCATGCCTTTCTTTTCTTGGTCCTCTCACAAAGGCATGGTTCACTACACAGTCTTAACCACTGGGTGTCTACCTGAATAACCAAACCAATGAGGATGTCAATTACAACTACAGTAGAACCAAAATGATCCCTAGTAAATTTCAAATTTAAACCAAGAGGATTGTTGTTTGTATGTATCTAGTGAGATTTATCATGGTATAAACATCAGCAACCACATTGGTTACTTATAGTGGAGGGTACAGTAGAACCAAACCTATACATTTTCACCGTATCTTCATTTACTCGTACGACTGGTATATCCTCTGTACTCATATGTGTATCAATTAGCAAGAAATTAATATTGGCAAACACATTCTCTTCCAAATTAAGCTCAACAACATATAGTAAATTGTATTTGGACTGGTTCCCATCTACTACTTGCACATCTCAGAGTCAACTGTCCATGGTATATCAAATAGAAATTTAGGAAGAAAAGGAAGTGAAAGATAGACGGACAGATAAATGAAGAGTGGGAGTGAGGATATAGGCACAAGAAACATATCAGAATAGATGGTGACCACATTTGCGGGCGTCATTGGGTTCTTTTCCATGGTTCTTTCCTATTTTATGAACATTGTGTAAAAGAAAGCAGGGAAAAAGAGAAGGAGCAAGCAGGAGAACCAGGGAGAGGCATGAGGGGCAAGAGTCGACCAAGATTCATCAATCGAGATCCATCAAGAGGGGTAGGGTTTGTACCTAGACTATGTCGAGGTCACTGTAGCCGCACTTCCGGATCCAGGCGAGGTAGTGTGAAACTTAAGACATTGACAGAAGGGTCTTCTTGACTTCTTGTATTCCTCTCATTTGCTACTATTTTGTAATCGGGCTGAGCCCAATCCAGCACGAGTGGGCCTAATAGATTTTGTTGTCTGTAGAAAGAAACAACAGTCAAAATAAATTAATCAGTTCAGATGAATATGAATAGCTGACATACGTGATCAATTTTTCTCGCTTAAAATACCGGGAACCTAATGCCTTTAAAACACCAGCATCCCAATGAGAAGCACCATGGATATAAAAAACCCGAGACAGACATACAACAATTCATTTTTGTAAGGATCTAAATGCAATGACCATTTTACCCTAACAATGTCATAGGTCTATATCAAGGTAGATTATATATGTATGTAAATACCCAACGGCGCAAAGGGAAATTAGAATGATTGCAGAAAATGACCAATCTAGTATAGCAAGCTACATCAGAAGGATGACATAGATATAAATAGGTTCAGTACATAGCAGTTGGTCCAAGCAATAACAAAATGCAGTGGAATTAGTTATGCCAAAAGCAATGCAATTTGGACTGAAATTATTGCCTGGAGTCCTGGAATCTGTCCATGACTCCAGGGTGCTAAGCAGGAAATTCACCTGCTACTACATTCTAGGAATATGATGTAGTTTAGTTAGTACCTTTCTTTTCATGTAGTGGTCGTGGTCACTGCAGTGGGCGTCATGGCTGTCTCAACCTCCTCTTCCGTCTCTACGGCCCGCGCTCCTCCTTCTGAGTCATGAGGAATCACAAGGATGTAAGCCTCTGAAATATAAAGGAAAAGGAACCACAACGTCTCATCAGCTTGTTTAGTCATGGAAGGAAGCATCACATTTATATACACAATAGGGGCAACTTAATTTGAGAAAACATGCATGTATTGAATGCTTCCTCCAAATAATATATGGAGTTAATTACATATGCATCGATTTAAGCTATCTCTTTTCCAGATTGCTCAGGATATTTTAATTGCTAGCAAAGAATCCTATGAAAGAAGTTGGTTATGTTTCGACACACTGCAAAGTTGGTTATATTTCGACACATGCGACAATGTCAAATAGAGGCCCACTTTCCCATATTTCATTTCATATTCACCCAAAGCACACATGGGACGTATGGAGATTTGAAGCAACATATTCATAGATTGGCAGAGTCTAATTGTAGCAGCATATCCTTGTGAGACCGATACACCTTTTGAACTTCTCTCTAGCCTACACATGTAGTCTAGTTGTAGCAGCTGATGGGCGACATGTGGCACTTGAATTTATTGACTGTAAGTCGCACCACTATAAAATACAAAGCATTGAACCTTTGCTGTTATAACCAACTTTTTTCGTAATTTTGTAAGAGACAGGAAAGCAGAACTACGACCTAGGATCTTACTTCAGAGGTCCGTAACCCTGCCAATTAAACACATAACCAAGATTGATGACTGGGAATATCTGGTGCATAATTTGAGCATAACCAAGATTGGTGACTGGGAATATCCCGTGGGCAACGGCTAGATGTATGGTTTTATTACATAGCGACAAGTACATAGTATATAGAAATGGTGACAATCTTCGGATACAGAGCTGCTGGATGCTGCAGAGAGGCCAAATTAAGCCAGTAAAACAACTCAATAGCAAGTTACTACAGTTAAAACGACAAACACAACATAGGACAGGTCAGTATCTTTGAACCTAGTCGCTGCCAAATGGTATATTTTGAACAGGAAGAAAACAAGCAAAATCATTGCCAAACTGCACATATCTGAACCAAGGAACTTTAGAATGAAAACTATCCATGACTAATTACCTTCACCAAGGCAGCAACACGCAGATTCATGGAAAAGAATTTAAACTACTGTTTTGAGGTTTCAAGAAACAAAAGTATTTAAAAAGGATGTACACCAGAACTGTAAAGCAGGAAATTACGTGATAAATTCATAGGCCAATGATGATATTAATGTTCCTAAAATAAGTCAATTGCTATGCAAGGGGGATATATGAGTAGGAACTGACCTGCACAAGAAATGTTGGAGATGCATCTTGCAGGAACTTACAGATTCCTTTCAGTAATCAGTACGCCATGGTCCTCTCTGAAAATTCAACAACATTTTCAAATATGTAAACTATACCACCCGATCCACCACAATTTTGACGTGTTGAACTACAAATCAAGTCGGCAAACATTCAACTTTCAGCTCAAGCAATACCTAATTTGATCACATCCAAGTTTTAATTCCATCAACCGCAATTTCTGATCCAACAAAATTTTATTCCATCACCCACAATTTTTGATCGAACAGATCTGGGAAGCCCGAGACGGTACCTTCCAGCTCCAGGGGAGAGGGAAGGGAGGTGTCGGTGCCACCCTGGTGGTGACCCTTCGAGCATAGCCGTGTCCACGCAACCACGACTTCGGCAGAGAAAACGGGCAGCACGAATCAAGGGCCGTACACATATCCCAGACCAGCTGCAACACGGTTAACGGAATCAGTCACACACGCGCACGCGCACACAAACACACACACAGAAAGAGGGAGAGGGAAGCACGACCTCGAGGCAGACGGCAGTGAGCTCGCCCACCAAACCGAGGCCATGATAAAAAATATCAAATGCATGTGGTGTCATGCAATCTTTTTGAACTCACATCTTCTGCATAAAGTGATTCATATTAAAAAAAAGCATATATATACCAATCAATTAGATAGAAGAGTCACAAATTATCTTGAATCAACCCATTGATAAGCACACCCAACTGAACCGAGTAAGATAAATGCAGACAACTAAATAGTATTTCTTCCATACATGGAAGAACCAGAGGCATCAAATCGCATAAACTTAGCAGCCAACCTTGCTCGATGAAAAGTAGGGCTCATAAGAGCCTAGGGAACCAATTCATACCTACGGAGCAGTGGCTACCTTGATGTTCGTCCGTCTGGAGCTGCTGCACACACACACACACACTGACCTATATGTCGAGCTGCAGAAAAAAGGGATCAAAACAGAGAGAGAGGGAGGAAATGGGGGAAGTGAAGAGGGCACTCACCTCCACCTTTGCACGACGGATCCGAGGCGTCTCACCTCGAGCATTCTTCTTCCTGGAGATGCACGAACGCGAGGACGACGGTCCCGCGCTCCTCCAGTCGATGGCGACGCCTGGACAGCGACCAGGAGGCGATGCAGTGCGCGGAAGTTCGGACGGGGTCGGGGAGGACCAACCGGAGGTGCAGGCACAACGCCGGCATCGATGGCGACGCCGTGGACCGTGGTGCTAGGGTTAGCCGAGGCCGTGCATAGAGGGGCGGCACGTCGGGTCAACGCGGTGGAGAAGGAGCAGCGTCACGAGATGAGCTCGTGGATGTGCTGTATGGCGACGGACCTCGCCAGAGTTGGCCGTGGTGGTGGTGGCAGGGGGGAATACAGAGAGAGAGAGAGGGCGACCAGGAGGCGATGCAGTGCATGAGGGCGACCAGAGGAGAGGGGGACGGGAGGGCGGGCTCGCCGTCGCACGATAGGGGGCGGCGACCACGGTGGAAGGGGAGGGGGCGGCGGCCATGGTGGAAGGGGAGGGAGCGGCGGCCACGGTAGAAAGGGAGGCGGCGGCGGCTAAACAGGAAGAGGAGAAGCTGATTGGGGAGAAACGGATGGGCTTGGGCTTATATACCTCGTAGAGAAATTAAGAAAATACCCTCGGCGAGGCACGGAAATAACGGCGGTGGCACAAGATATTTTCGGTGGTGAGCTAAACTATTCATTGCAATAGTGTCGCAGGCTCCATCCGGCTGTCCAGATCGCCCGGGAGAGAGATCCAAGGGTCGGAAACGCATCAAGCAAACACATCCGACGGTCCACGATCGCTGAGCTCTGAGGAGGCGCGGGAAGCACCGGATCCCTTATTTCTCGATGGTTCCTCGGAAATAGTGTGAGGGAATTAAATTAGGGCATTTCTAACCGATCCTTAAAAAATAAAGGAGGATACGACCGAGTAACCTTAGTGGAGTATATTTACTCCACTAAGTTTGGTCGGTTCTAACTGATCTCCTAAATTTGACGGAGTAAACTTACGTTTTGGTTTATGCATTTCGTCGTACATCTGCCATGCGTGTCTGCGACAATGGCGACCACGTCGAAAACGCTGGTGACCACCGATGCACGCCATGCCACGGCCAACCACCCAACACTCCCTGTGCCGCACCGTCTCCCAGACCCGCACGGACGTGTACCCGGCGGCGAAGCCCAGGACGAGCTAGAAGCAGAGCATGCCCGTAACGAGCGCGCCCCGGGACGCCGGTGCCATGAACCCTGGCACCGTGAAGACGATGGTGACCACGCCCATGCATAGGATGCGCACGCTGTCGCCGACCATCATGCACAGGAGCACTGGGTGGCTGGGCTCCCGGAACGCATCCCCGGCCACGAGCTTCCACCTGGCAATGTCATCCGCATGCGGCGGCGCCTCGCTGCCGAGCTCCTCGTACTGCGCGAGGTCGCGCCACACGGTGCGAGCAGGATGACTAGTTGGATGGCCGCGAGGAACGCCACCACCACGATGGAGTTGAGGATGGAGAACCAGTGTACCTGGGCGCCGCCCATCTCGAGGTACCGTCCCAGCGCGACGGCCACTCTACGGCGCTCTCCACAGAGGCCAACTCGTATGAGAAGGCTAGCGGCCTGTTGCCTGCACGCGCATGCCCACCACGGAAGGGCATCAAGACCTCGTACATTGGCCGTGGCGCCGGCGTGCCAGCGGCAGTGCGCAACGACGGTGTACCCATCACCACGGCCTCGGCCCCTGGACCTGGAGCCTGGATAACCCGACAAGTTCGGACGCGTCAGCGGTGGCCATGAAGGCCTCCACCCTGGCGGTGTCGTTCTTCTGCTTGTTGACAAGAACCGTGAGCTTGAGGTGGTTGTAGACGTACTGCCTGAGCTTCCGTACGCTAGCAAGGTCATCGGTGTGGCCGGAGGTCGCCGTCGTCGACAAGGGAGTTTCACGTGAGTCACTGGCCGGCCACAAGAAGGCCTTTGCTTGAAAAAATAATATCCTCGGACTCCTCCAAACGGAGTATATTTAGGGATTGGTTAAGTGCTGGAGGATAAATTATCCTCCTCTATATGTTTCAGGGGATTGGTTAGGTGCGACATACTCCCTCCGTTCGGAATTACTTGTCGTAGAAATGGATGTATCTAGACATTTTTTAGTTCTAGTTACATCCATTTCTGTGACAAGTAATTCAGAACGGAGGGAGTATAAGGAAGTGAAATAGAAATATACTCCACGAATCGTAAAATATACTCCACGAATCGTAGGATAAGGGATCGGTTAGAAACACCCTTAGTAGTTATACTACGGCTACATCAATCAACAAGCTCTCATTTTTTTTTGTGCTCTGTAGCCACTCACCACATACATGCATACACCATCAACATCACGGGCAACAGTGGCGGAATTTTCACCTCATCTTGGCCCTTCAAAAAAAAAATTTCTTCAGGGTTTTCTCCAAAGCCGGGGGGGCACGGCCCCAACATGGCTCCGCCGTTGACGGGCATGCGTACTAAGGCCAACTCCACCCCACGATCCTAAATTTTATCCCATTTTGTCCGGATTTTGTCCGTATGGGGTAGAAATTGTAAGAACAAACGCCGGACAGAGGCCGGACAAACTCGCTGCACCCACCGCTGCTACCCCATATTTTGTCCGAATTTTGTCCGTGGTGGGTGCACATGGTGGGCCAGGTACAGAAATGAAGAGAGTGACAGGTGGGGCGATGGCAGACACAGACGGACGAGGAGGACGCGAAGACGTCCGCTTTCTGTTCGCTTTGACCCCAAACCGAGAGCAACTTTGGTCTGAAAATGGGGCAAAAGCGGACACAGACCGGACGAATCGTCCGTATGCTCCCATGCGTTGGGTCGTTCGGTTTGTCCATTTTATCCCAAACGAACACAAACAGACGATTTGGGGTAGAAATGGGTCATGCGGTGGAGTTGGCCTAAGAATGGCCTAATGCGTACTAGCAGGATGGTAGTCGTAAGAGCAACTCTAGCAGATGCGTTATATCGCCATCTCCCTCGTACATTTCCGGCCGTTTTACAGTTTTCAGCCTTTTTTGGGCACGAACAGGTGCCGTATAATTCTCCCGACCCGTAAAAAAAATATAAAGGCGGCCCGCTCCCTTCATCGCTATATTTACGGGGTGGAGGCGTTTTAGGGTTCCTTTCCTGCATATTCTCCTCCCCCTTCGCCGCAATCCGCCTCCCTCCGTCGTCTCTTTTCGTTTCTCCAGATAGCGATTCGAAGCATTTTTTTGCCCTCTCAAGTAGATCCATGGCGGGAGGTGCTTGGGGACATGGGGGCCGTCGCGGGTCGTCGTCGCGCAAGCGTGCCCGGCATGACGCAGAGGCCTGCAGCTCCAGGAGGGCCGGCGTTGAGTCATGGCGCTCCAAGCAGGCGCGCGTGGGATTGCTTCTTCAATCTCGACAAGGCGCTTTTCCAACACACAAAGAGTTGTCGGGTGGTGGACGAGGAGCTCCTGGCCGCGCAGAACACGGTGGCTGCCGGAGAAGATGGCGTCGTCGAACGGCTATAGGCGGAAAAGGAAGTGCACGCGTACGCACGGCACATGCACGGTAGAGGTCGGCCGAGGCATTTAACTCGGCGTCAAGAACTGATTGGCTGGCCATCCCAACTAGATCGAGAGGAGGAGTCTCACGCCGGGCGAGGTGTGTTGTGGCCACCATGGACTTATACCAATGCTCGAGGCTTCTTCTCAATGATGGGTTGATGGTTGTGTAAATAGTTGGGAGTGGCGCTAGAGGATGGACATTTTACAAGAACTCGCCATTGTTGGCATTTTTCTACATTGTGTATGAGCATGTGTCGGCGAACATTGGTGTGTGCTGTGATGGCTGCTCCTCCTCGTTGCCGGAGGAGATGACAATCTTCACCTTCTGCGAGGAGCTGCCCTCCGATGAGGACAACGGACCCGGAGTTCGAGGGCGGCGTCGCCAAGGTCCTCCGAAGCCACCCGCTATTCCGGAGCCACTGCCTGGCGCCGAGGCCAATGACTTTCCCATCACCAAAGTTGTGGAGGAAGAGGGGAGGGGTGGAGGCGGATGTGCGGAGTGATGCAGTGGGTGCAATGTGAACGGCGCTAGAGCAATGCTTAAAGTCGTGGCGAGACAATGCGAACGGACGGTCAGCTGCATCAATGCGGCACAGCGGTCTGCGTTTGTATTGAAGCAGCGGCTTTCGAGAGGACGCGTCGATCAACGTAGCCCTCCTGTCCCGTTACATCACGCGGCATCAATATGGGCCGCTACCTGGGGGCATTGATGCGGATTGGGAAGCGGCACGTGGATCGGAAGAAAAGCACGGGAGAGGCTAGTGGGGTTATTGAATATAGGCCAACATAGGAGCGTGTTGAATGGCAGAACACATCCAAACCGCGTCGTCCAAACTAATACTGACGGCTTGATGGTTGTTGTTGAAGATACCCTTATAAAGGAAAGAGAAACAAGAAGGGAACACATGAGACCGGTCGAAGCAACATATGATTGCGGCGAGATGGCGACTGCCGACGGCATAATCATCTCGGAGAATCCAACGTACCACGCCGCTTTGCCGTCGATCGCCGTACCGGTCTTGACGTTTTCTTTTTACACCACCAACGGCGGCACGGAACGGTGCCATGCGCATGTGCCGTGGCCTGCCCAGAGCGACCCGTGGATCACGTGCGACCACGTGCCGGCAGCAACGAACAACTCATGAACGCATCGGCGAAGATCAATGCAGGGTTATTAGGACCCTACTCTACTTAACTGGAGTAGCTAACTTCAGTGTTTATCAGGTGAGCCGTTACTCTCTCTCTATCTCTCTCTGTCCTGCGGGTGGGCCACCCATGTGTGTGCAGAACTGGCTGGTCTGTAGGTCCGGTGGTGATTTAGCTGCCCAATATTCTGCACTTGCCTCGTGAAATCAACAAGCTATCATTTTCCTTTCGTCGTTTGTACTATAGACAACTGCTGCCACTGACCACATACATGCATATGCATACACCATCAATATCATGGGCATGAATATCAGGATGGCCTAACGCGTACTAGTAAGAGTAAGAGAAACTTCAACGCGCCCGACCTATTTCGTCGGTGCGTGACCGTTTGGTTTAAAACGGATACAAAAGCCGACCCAACACTCCAACTCAAACGGACGCGTATCTACTTTTTGTCCGCCGGGTGATCTTAAATTCATGCCTCATTTACATCGGCGCAGACACGAAGCTACTCTTTCTCATGGCTCACCAGTCGGTGGTACATAGGCCATTCTTTTCTTTCCATCCACAACATGTTGGATATATGAGTAAATTACTACGAGATTTAATCCGAATAAATAGAAGATAAATCATAACTACAGTAGCAGGGATTGAACTAATCATGCAAACTAGCATAGCAGATGAACAGATCACATCTAGGGTACATACTAAAAACATGAATTCTACCACGATCTCGAATAGGAAGGATAGAATCACGTACGGTGCAGCGGGAGCAGCACCGCCG